GTCCCGGACCAACAGCGGTAATCCTGTGCCAAGCTAAGCTGGAGATCCGATATGCTGTCCTGATCTGACTGGTGTTCCCTGATGAGAGTGTGACCCCCTGGTTTCAGTCGCAGTTGTGAACAGTCCCACACATCAACAGGCCCGCCAGAAACTATAGGTAAGCGGAACCTTTGGTTTATACATAAACTCCGCACATTGAATTAATTCTAAATTAAAGCTGATGTGTGGGCTGCCCACTCTCGACGTTCTAAATTGGATCCAAAACAGTAAGGGGTTAATGAAACATATTTTTTTTCTGTTTTTGAATGCTGTGCTGGTTTGTTCATTGTCACATGTACAGTTAACAAAAGCACATAGTCTCATTTGAGGGGGAGTAAATGAGTGTTGTTGATCACAGAATTTGATGCCAATAAGGGATGTAAAATTCACGTTTTATAAGTGGATTTCTGCTACATAGTAGCAGTTGTCTCCTCAATTTTCCCATTTCCTTTTTCATTTTTCTCCGGCTGGAGCAGGAACAGAGACTCATCTCAACCAAACAAATGACTCTCTGACACATTACACACATGTGATAACAGGCACGGGGAAATTTCTGCTGTTCTCAGTGTGTGTGGGGATAACTGTACAAAAGGCAAATTAAAACGTTTTTCCACAAGTGTATCACGCTGGACAATAGGTTCATTGTGAGAATTCGTTGTGGAGTTAACGTGCCTTGTACAGCAGTGTAACACTCCAGGTGGGTGACAGAATTAGTGAGAAAAAAAAGTTGCATTAGCTTAGGGTGATTGCTTGTCCTGTTGAGATAAAACTGTGGAATTGATTGGGAATTAACCTCCAGAAATGCGCAGAAGGGGTTAGCCTTCTGTAGAAGCCTCACAGTTTGATCAGTTTCCACCGGGCCAAGAGTCTCTCATAAACGGACAGCGTCACGTGTGGCATATTAATCTTTCATGATGGCTGACTGTGATGTGATTCAGGACTGGAAAAATTGCAAATCTGGCACACTGGGTGCTATCTTGTATCAATTGTTGAACAAATAGCTTGGCACACAGTTTAAACCAACATTGTAGTGAAAGAGATAGATTTGTACGTTGGAGTCAGAAAATGATGAAAAAAGGTCTGTTTGGGTCCTATGACGAGCCCGCACCAGTAGATGGGGCTGTAAATCTGTTCATTAAACAGGCTGCTCGCTTGACTTCAAAGGAACGTCTCTGCCATAGGACAGCGAGTTTGTTACAGAGGCACAAAACAGAAGCTAAACTTAAACAATGTGAGACATTTCTGCAAGACTGTGTCTGTTTTTTGGGCGAGTTTGAAAAAATCCAAAAAGCCACATCGAGTGTTGAAACAGCGCATGTACCTGACACTCCCTCCAGTGATGCGCGGGGACGCACCCCATCTGACCCTCCTCCTCCCGCACAAGC